CTGAAACCCAGCTAGTTAGTGAGTTGCTAATCATAGTTACAACCCAGGTTCATATCCGTATGTACAATGCGAGAGCTGTCTAAGTTGATAAATCAGATGCTATCCTTTTAAAGATGTTTCTTTTTACGCCTTGCCTATAATAGTACACTTCTTTACTTATTCAAAGCATGAATCCTCTTTTACTCAGATCCTGTCCCTTTTGGCACGGTACATCTCCTGGGAATGCAGAATGTTTCAGTGGTAACTTGGTCTTTTGCACAGTATACAAGCCTATTTCACTGAGGAGCAAAAAAATAAAGACTGTACTTATCAGTGGAACACTTTGTGTTAAATAAAGATAATTAAAGCATCAACACCATATCCCCTCTGTGTTTGATTAGTACCTTCCTCACTACCATTTGTTACTAATGGTCAAAATTGGCCTTTAAAAAAAATTGTAAAGTATGTGTTATGATGTAAATTGAGAACAGAAAATTGAAACACGCTTCTGGACACTTTACAAGAAACAGTTCTATGACTAAGTACCTGAAAGAAGTCCTCAATGTAAATATTTATACATGATGAAAATGTTCTCATATTTTGTGCCTATATTGGATTGCTACCATACCATTGTTACACTTATCATGCTCTAGGACATTTGCTAAGCAGAAAGCTGTAACGATCTTTGTTCTTGAGACTTTCTTGTTATTATTAAAAATAGTCTTTGATATCTGTCTATGTGTGTACATGTGTGTACATAGCAAGAAAAAAAGACAATGCTTTCCTGCACAGTTAAACTGATTGCCCTCTTAATGCATGAATATGGAGTCCTGATAAGGCCATGTTACATGTATGTATTTGCAAGGAAATTGACATTTTGGTTTATATTTTTCTTCACAGTGTATTTATAACCAGAAAAGGCGTAAAGATAATTCATAAAGGACTACAGAATTGGCCAGGAAGCAGCACACCCCAAGCAGAGAAAATGTTACTCAGAAACACCTATACTGCTTCTTCTAATCCTACTAAGGATTATATCTCTGAAAATATACATGTGCAAAAATGGCAGTATTTTAAATAGTCAGTTATTGTTTGTAGAACAGAGCAAAGAGAAAAGAAAGCACGATACAATGATGGGCCAAAGGATGCAAGCAAAACCAGCTTGTAAAGGGTCTGGTCTTCAAACAATGGCTGTTAATGTGCAAATCTCATATTCACAATGGAAAGTTTCAGTGAAAGAAACCTGCTCAAATGCCATCATTTTGCACTATGAGACAATGTGAAGAAAACAGCATATTTTATAAAGTTATGTTTATTACTAACATAGGAAAACAAAAAAGTATTTACATTTTAAAAATATGACTTAAAATTATGATGAAGGATGTAATCCTCCAAGCTGCAAAGTGATCCCTATAATACACTGAGATTTCTTATCTCTGTCTTTGCTGAAAGTTAATAGCAGCCAAGCTCCTGACAGCCAATGTTCAGCATCTTGCGGGCTGGGATTTTAAATCTGTGATCCAGGAAAAAAAAAAAAAAAAAAAAAAAAACCTTAAACCCATCCCCATTCAGGAAAATACTTTTGTATATAACTTTTCGCAAGTGCTTAAGAGCTAATGAATCCTAAGGAATTTAAACATTTGCTTACCACTAAGTAGACATGTAAGACCTTTACTGAACTGAATTGCTAAACTAGGACCTAAAAGAGTATTTTGGAGAGTGGTATCATGCAAAAAAAAAGAGAACAGTACCTTTCAAAATAAACAATAAACATGTGAAAGATTGGGAAAAAAAGTGTATATAAAATGTTAAGTCTTCAATATTTTCATTTTAAGCCTTACACTTAAATATTTAATTTAAGAAAGGGGAGAGTTACAAATTGGCTTTTTTTTAAGCCTTCTACATTTATGTTCTCCTATGTAATACTGTATCAAACAAGATGCACTTGTGAACTCATGTGAGGTATTCCAGAAGGAAACCTCACATAATCACAACAAAAACAATTTGTACTCATTTGGGCACACCAATCAGTCATGTAAGATGAGACTTCATTTCCTGGTGGCTATATACAAAAGTATCAATTACTGATTCTAATTACATTAATGGTAAATGAGTATCGCTCTCATCTATAGTACCTAGAACGCATACTTCCTGCTCTGTCAACTTACTCATTTTAAAACTTTATAAACCTTCTAATGTGTCCTTGGAACAAAAGCAGGAATCATTAGTCAAAGCAGGCATGTACAGCTGAACTACAGAACTATCTCGTATAACACCAAATCATAGTGATTTATTTATAACTGCTCCACATTTCTCTCTAAACATTATGCTGAAAAGAGTTCCACCTTTTAATACTAAAATACTAGCACTGTGGCCCGATAAATTAACAAACGCTCCACTGTCAATGTTTGAGACATGTAAATTCTCTGTACTATTTATGCATATATGCCTTAATGCCTTAAGATATTATGCAAAAGCATGCACAAATTGATGTGTCACGCAGTAACAAGTTGGCAGGTACCTACAGGAAAACTATAACAGAAACTTGTGTATACTGGCCTCTTCTACAAATGCTTTTATTTAGCATTACCCTTACTATTTCCTGAAAACTTTCCTTAGCTTATGTGCATGCTTAACAGGTGCACAAGAACTTTCAGCATACTTAAAAATAAGAAGATACGGCATTAGAATATCAGCTGTAAGCTATTCAGCTAAATTAACTTTCATAACAAATTAGACATCTAGCACAGAAAAAAAAGTACTGTCAGACACTGAGAACCTGGATTCGTACCAAGCTAAATAAATAATGGAGCAATTCAGAATGTATTTCTTTCAGTTTGATTGTGGCAAGTGAAACTGTAATAAAGCCATTTTCTTCTACTAAAAAGTCTTTTAATGTATTGTATATCAAAAATATGTCTTTAAAGAATGTTAAATAATTCAAAGCAAAATATATTTTTGTAATATACTCTCAAAGAATGTTTTTATCAGGCAAAGCAGTCATCTGCGTGGTCTTTATCATTCCTTTGTCATTCCTGCATTTACCTTTCAAGGCACTTTTTCCATTAAAAATAAATTACACTTTTGACAGGTTTTAATTTGTATGTTTAGATGAATTGCATCAGTGAGAAAGATTTAATATGTGGTTCACATAGGTTCCACTTCTACTTTGTTGTTAATGTTCACTAAAAAAGTCATAATCTGTCTACTATGTACTTAATAAATGTTACCAGATGTAATATTGGGAACTTTCTTAGTACTTCATATTTTATATGGACTATATTTTCAAACTGAAACTGTAATGTTCTCTCCAGGAGAGAGCTAATGAAATGTATCAGCCAGAAACTACTGTGTCAAATGTTCTATAAAACGTCTGTACGCCTTGTAAAACAACATACACAAAAATAGTGGCAGATACTACATCAATCACACATTTTTGGCGGACCGGAGGCCTGAGTGGTTCATACAGTGAATATTGCATTATTCCTATTGCATTATTTTAAGAACTTGTTCTTATTATTCCTATTGCATTATTTTAAGAATTTGTAAGCAGAATGCAAATACTGGTTACACACTGTAAAATTTCAAATCTAGCAGCCTAGCAGATGTCTCAAAGTACAAGAAAATGCCATAGTACACCATATTTGCATGTTAATAAGTTGAAAATAAAGCGTTTTTGGTCAAACTAGTCAGAATTTCCCTGTTCCAGACTTGGCTCCCTATTTGCACGAATCAGCTATCTTTAGATCCCTGTGTATCAGGCACTGTAGCTGAGAAAACTCTCTGAACATGTATATTAGCTGGAGAGATGTAATGGAAATCATAAAATGTGTATCATTTATCTTATTTTACAATCACTCAAATATTATATCTCAGAAAATATATCTCTGTTCAGGCTACATATGTGTCTTATAAAATATAGTCTCTCATAAAGTAACACTAGCACATTCCCTGGGGCGTGATCCCCACTGTGGCATCCCTGTTTTATTCCGGGGACTGTAAAGAAGTACCTCTTGTCGCAGTTTTAGGCTTTCAGAGCTTCACTGAACCGATCTCAGTGAGCAGAGCCAAGATCAGAGCCAGTCACTTGTGGCACTCTTAAACGAAGGGACACCTCCCTCCGAGGGCCTCACTGAAGTCAGCAGCAGCTGTAGGCAGAGCTATGCAGGAGCTGAGCACGCAAACGAAGGCCCCTTGGTGGTGTGCCTTAATGAATTTCGTGTGGGAAATACATATATATGTATATATATATATGTATATACATAAACAAATGAGTAATGCCAATACTTGCAAGAACGTTGGTTCAATAATTATTTGGGATCCCAGTGAAATACCAATGGTGTAAATTAGATCACGGGGAGGCTTGTAGATTATTAGGGGATTTTGACCTTAATGAACGACCCGATAATTAGAGCCATTAACGCTTCAAAGGCTGCACATTCACACGCGGCCTTCCGAGGCGCGTGTGCTCGGGCAGTCGCGCGTAGCCCATAACGCGCGGCTCCCCCGCAGTGAGGCGGCAGCTCCCCGTCCCTGCGCCCGGGGGCAGCTCGGCCTCC